GAGGGGGGGAGGAGTTGCAGGCAGCCCTTGGCGAGCTGCCTGGCAAAGATGGTGATTTTCCATAAGCCGCCAACAACAGAGTCTGGATGTCTGAACCCCAGCCATCCAAGATAGACGCTTCCCCAGTCCAGAAATGCAGAATAGAGAGAGAGTCCAAGTACATAGTTCAACTATAGTAAATCACAGTGTCACAAGTTCGCACACACACAACACACACCCTTTTACACCCTCCCCTCACCTCCTCAGGGACCCTTTGTTCACGCTGCAGTGATATTTTCATGCTCGCTCTCACTGCAGGAGCCAAAAGCTAAACTACGGCACCTAATGTAAACAATGCAAGTGTCATGATGTCAGAAAATTAATGGGATTCACAGGCCGTCTCCATGGCAGTGATTGGTTCTGCAGGGTTCTGTCTGCGCTGCAACACCGGCAGTTGTCAGGTGTCCCAGGGCCAGACACAGTCCTCAGCGGTTCAGCTGTAAACCAACCATACACATTCCTTCCCTCCACACACACACTCCCCCGCACACATGCACACCCACACACACACGTGTGCACACATGGGGAAAGGCTAGAATTAAAACTACAGGATAGTCCAAAGAGAAACCTTCATGATTGGACATCAGTGGAGGCAGAAATTCAAATTGTAAACCAATCAGATCCTGTGTCCCTTCGCTCCCCCCACCACCACCTTATTAGGCGACCTCCCATGTCTCTCAAATTTCCTGTCGGCTTGGTTGCACCCCATAAAGAATGTCATCAGCACTGTACTGGTTTTGTTGACCATATTAGGTATGATCATGCATTGCCAGCCCCCTACTGAGCCTCATTTTTTCAAAATTAATATGGTGTTTTAGAAACCGAGGCCTTACTGTTTAGAAAAACAAAATTTTTTCTTGCATGTTCATGTGAAACAAATCTGTCTTTTTCCTTTGTTTCTTTGTCAGTTGATTTGATATTGTTTTAGGTGAGAAAAATATGCGTTCAGTGGGAAAATCTACTTAACAAACATTCATTAAAGATATTTGGACTTCAAATATTTAAACACAGACCACAAACCACCAACTATGTGAGGACTTCATTTTAAGATTCAATAGATGCATTTTTGGACAATTTGTTACATGAAAAACACCAGGAAACATTATGAAAACATCAATGATGTGTTCAGGAAAAATAAACAATTTTTTAAATGTCTTAAGGTGAATGTAAGCTTTAATACCAGCATAATTCATTCATGTTCATATCAGCAGTCAATGTGAAAGATTTTTTTAAATGGAGAGTGTCTTTGGACTTTGGAACAGAAGCCCTTACATACTTGTTATTAAGAACTACATTTGTAGGTTTTTTTTTAATTGTGCGTTTTTTTACATTAATTACTATTATGTTCACAAATATATGAGTTTGAAGTTAAATCTAAAAGGCACGTAAAGATGCTTAATACGAAACATCTACATCATTTCATATATCTAGTACAAACTATATTGTATGCATTTGTTACAGTTGCACACACAGATTTAAATGAAAACAAACAAAAAGGTATTGTTTTTGAGGATAATTGTAAAGATAAATTAAGCTTACATTTAAGGCTTTATACTGTAAAGAGTTGTGTTAAAGAAATGCTTCATCCAATATGACAGAAATATAATTACATTAATATATTGACAACTTCACAGCACTTAAAAACAGCCAGTATTACTACAATAATTTCATTAACTTTACAAAGAAATAATATTATTACTGCTTTTCATGATAAAAGTACAACAACTTCAAGGTAAATTAATACAAATGTAAAAATAACAAAGAATGAAAGCCATTGTGCAGTTTTTGGCTATAAAATCCAGCAGATCAAATTATTAACATATTTAGGCCTACAAAATAAAAAATCTTGCTTTGAATATATATTAATAATATTTTCAAAATAATATTTTGGAAATAAAGTGTCCTTTTTTTATTTTATTGTTATTGTTTCAAGAGTTTTGATTTCTACCCAGAATCAAACAATTCCTGTGCAAAAATTCATTCGTTCATTTTAATTAAACAATAGTAAATCTAGCATGGTATAGAAGTAAACTTTTTTTAAATTACCTAGATATTGCCATCCGAAAATATAAAAGGTCCAGGATCAGGGGCTTTCCTTTGCATTCCCACTGTCTTCCCAGAACTAGTTTAGGTGAAATCCAAACAGATTAAAGCTCCTCTTCCCAGAAAAGGTATATTGGGGAAAAATCTATGTCACTGCTGTGAAAAGAGGCTTTTGTGGAGCTGTCCAAAGGGATAGGGCAAGACCAGCAAAGAAAGTAAGAACTTGTGAGTCACTGGAATGACCAAAGTCTGTTGTCTTGTTCTCACATTCTCAGTGACAATGGAATTAATAACTGGCAATAGAAGATTCAGACGTGCTAAAACCGGTTTATCACTCTTCTAGAATCAAGAATCATGTTTAGAGAGTAGTCTTGTAATTATTTTAGAAGATGTGGCAGGTGAATCAGTGCATTTTAGCTGTGAACTTGAAGATATTTATGCCAGCAGAACGGTCATGAATCTGGACTTGATTTAATTGTGAAACACACTTTCTTCATTAAAATATTTGAATCAATACATTTTCCTTCGAAGAAGTTGTTTTTTATTATTAGATGAATTAATGTTTTCTTTATGATAAATATAAACAGGCAGGCAACTTTTCCCCACCAAGAGTCCCTCATCAGTTAAACTTTTCACATTTACTTTGATAAATGTGGATAAATTAGAATTACAACAGTGCAAATATTTAGAAAAATGCAAGCTTTAGTATTAGGTTTTAGAGATTTGTATAATTTAAAATTAAGACTAAACTAGAAACACAAATTTTAAGATTTATTAAGTGAAAATCAATCTGATGCTCAGTCCATTAAAATATATGTATGTTAAAGTTCTAAACAATTTGCACGGCTGTACATCGAATTTCTGAAGATCTAATTATTGTGTTTGTCAGTTGCTATCTTATTCAGTAACTGATTAAAACTTTTTTGTTGAAGGCACATTTATATGAAGTAGAAAATCCTCCTGTTGCAGCTGCTGCTTCTTTGCACTTATTTAAAAACGAGCAGAAATGATAAAAAACAGTTTTTCGCTGATTTTTCGTTTCATTTAGACACCAATATGTTTTTAGATATAAAATGGATAGGTTTACTGTCTGTTCACAGACAATAATTTGTAAATAAGATGAAACATTAACATTCAGAGATGACAGGGAAATACTAAAAGCACATGTTTGATTGTAAGATGTTATTCAAAATTAAGATATTATCCTAAATTCTTCACTTGTTTTAATGTCACATTTTATTGGGGTTCAACCTATTCAATAAAAATCACTTCAAAAATAACACTGCTGCTGTATATACACATTTATTCACATACCTCTGTGATATTCCCTCTTACACATAACTGCTTTAAAGACACTGAAAAAACTATCTGCCCCTAATTTTCCCTTAATAAAAGTTTCAGTATCTCATTCAATGATTTGAAATCCAAATCCATATTAATTGTGAATAATTATCTTATGAAATCTAAATAATTAATCATTTTAAACAGTTTGAATCCGTCAAACATAGTCAAGCAAGACACTATATGTATCTGATAGAAAATTTACAACAGTAATTAGAAGAAGAAGAATAAATGATTATTTTTGCAATTTGCTATTTAGTAAAAATCTGTGAACCAAGTTTGAGATGTTTGTTGTAAACAAAGTGATGTCTATATTTTCTCTATCTGTATATGTACTGTATACTTACATACAGCATGGGATCAGTATCAGCTAAACATCAACAAGTCTTGAGAGAAAATTGAATCCCATTTTTCCCACTTCTGCTTTGTTTCAGGACTTTGCCACTCGTGCAAAAGTAGCAGTGCAGAAACTCATCCAGAGGGTCGGATTCTTAGGGATTTTAGCCTGTGCTTCTGTAAGTCAAATCTTACATGAACTTGAAGTTTTCCTATGAAATATTTTTCACCCCCAAAATCATTTTGTCATGTTCACATTGACTTAATATTGACATTTATGTACTAGTCGAGGTAAATATCAGTTCTGAATTGTTCAAAATATATAGAAAAAGTAAATATTATGAAATGTAAATTTGAGTAAGTATCTTCTCATGGCATCGGTGGCCTTGTGTAGGTGTACCTGTTGCAATAAAATATACTACATGGATTAGGTTTCAATATTGTGATTTATTGTTTTCCCTATATGATTTGTTTTGTATTTCTTGAGACAAATTTACACACCATTAAATTTGATCACCTCTTTTTTTCCCCCAGATTCCAAATCCCTTGTTTGACCTGGCAGGAATAACATGTGGACATTTTTTGGTCCCCTTCTGGACCTTTTTTGGTGCGACACTCATTGGGAAAGCCGTCATTAAAATGCACATTCAGGTGAGCTTCAGTTTAATAATATACATTCATGTAAGTAATGCCTGGGCTGATGTCCCCCCACCACCACCAACACCAAAAAAGTTCATATAAATACAGTTGAGACTTGTGTACAATAGAGCACTCTTTTACATTCTTTCCATACAGCAGAGACACAGCCAAACGTATTTGTGCCAAAGTTTGAGATTTGTATACATCTTTAATATTGTTCAGAGGCAGAAGTGTGTTAAATAATGAATCACATTCATGCACAGCATCTCTGTGCTGTAGTACTCGGCTGGTAGTAGGGAGGCCATTTTGTGCAGCCAAAGTAGGGGGAGTCAACCATTTTGTGATTGCAGCTGCAGCACCCCCAGTACATTGTACAGCAGACTTGACAGACTGCAACAGATTGAGAACTTATAGGAAAATAAAAGATACATCCTAACCCTTGAATAAGAAAGTGCTGTTGGGAGACTTGGCATCACACATGTTTCTTCTAATCCTGGAAAATCCTCAATTTGCGTCCAGGAATTTGCAGTATATCTGTGATTACCGTCAGGGGCTCGACTTTCTGTTTTCTAAGCAAACGCTGGAATTTGCTCATTGTGACACAGAAAGGAAGGGTTAAAAGCAAAGGAGTTTTTATTTTTTGCACTCTGCCTCATTCCTTATCATACGCAGAAAGCATTGTCCTGCACCAAACTGAGAAAAAAGGTGGTGTTGGGGGGAGAATTTAGTGAGCACAAGCTAAAGCAGATAAACATTGTCTGTGGGAGGTGATGGAGAAAGAGAGGGAGAGATGGGGAGAAGTGGGAGGAAAGGAGGTGGGGGTTGTTGCATGCATGACAAGCACAATCACACACACACAGTACCAGATTACACCCAGGGATCCCAGGGGCCCCCACTGACAGAGGTGTGTCCATCTCTGTCTCACGGAAAGAAAGACCTCACCCAGTTCACCGGCATGTCTGGAGGCCCCAGTCACTCCTGTAGCTGTTTGGTTTAATGTACCTCAAGCTCAGGTTTTGCTTCTAATGCAAATGATTCAGTAGTTTCAGTAAAAAAAAAAAAAGAAATATTAGAAGAACTGGAGAGCAGGTGACGTTCTCCCTCATGGGCCAAGAGGGAACAAAAGGGGATTTTGAAGCTTGTGGTGTGTGGGTGTGTGTATATGTGTGTGCGCTTCAAAGCATGTTTTTGATCTGGGTTTGTACCTGTGCTTCAGGTGTGTTCTCAGCAGTCTCCAAGGAGAGGCTTTTTTACTCTGCGCTGCTTCTGCCTTTTATGCTCATTAAGCTTTACGTCTGAACGTCCATTGTTGAATGGCCAACGTCAGCAGGTCACTTGAGGATGAGGGGTGATGTCATGGAAAGACACATGTCGGGCTCTTGAGACAGGTGATTTTGCTGAGGACAGAAGAGTTGTTAGGTGTGGCAGAGGGCATAGACTTTCGTATTGCAAAAATTAAATAAAAGTATTGTTATTGTTACGCCCTATGACTTTTTAGTCAGAATGTATGCATTGTATAATATCCAAAAAAGCTGCATGAGTGTTGTCTATGCAAGCATGGTGCTTATCCTGGGAGGGGTTGGTTTGTATTCTGTGTTCCTGTGTGTTTTACAATGTAGAACTGGATGACATTTCGTACTGTTAGTTGTATGTACGTTGTGTATTGTCAACTTGTGACAATAGTTTTGAGTTACAAAAAAGCAGGATGCTCTCACTTCCATATTACTGTCAATTCATTCAGTTCACCTCATGATTCTTGGTAATGAATGTTCCTTCCTTTTCTTTTAAGAACTGCTGTAACACTTACTTCTTGTTAGTGTGTGAAAAAATTGTTATGACTGGGATGTGTGTAGCTCTTTAGATATTTATCAGTTAACTGAAATCAGCAAGTCAAGACCATGTCACCACCAGTTTCCGAGCAGACACATTTAAGGCATCTTAGTCAGCTTTCCTGTGCGTCGGTCATCTTGCTGTTCCTTCCGCCTTGCTTTGTGTGGGATCATAGATCAGTTGTCAGTATTTGTTAGTGAGATGTGTGTGCACAAAATCAAACAAAAACAACAAAAACTCTAATCAAGTGCGTCTTACTGAAGTTGCAGTTAAAAAGTTGCCATGATGGGATTTACTTGCTGCACAGTGTCATGTTTATTTTCTGCGAGGCACAGAAAATAGTGTAACAGCAAACGTCAGTCTTTTTTTTATCGTGGCAGATGTCAATTATAAGTTTAGTTATTTTTGCAACATTGCCAACATTTTGCCTACAAGTCTTAAGTTCATTTTGTCTAATCGTCAGTGAGCTCCTGAGGCTTAACACCCACACAAATTAAAAGACAACCAAATGACAATATATGTATGACCTGGATGATACATTACATAACCTTACAATGAACACTTGATCTAAGCACTGATCAAGATTCATGCCACATGAAATTAAAATTAGTCCTAGTGCCGACTTATCTTCATTGTTATCATGTAAAAGTGGTGTTCTGGATATCACATTCATTTTTGTTCACTTATCATGTCATTTATATTACTCTGTATATTTCCTATAGTTGTAGTTTATAAATTCAACACTTTCATTGTTTTTAAATTTTCTCTGAAGTTATTGGTGGTCCTCATTAAATTGTTGCTAAAATCCTCCCAATTAACTCAGTTTGTAGCATATGTACTTTAAAACTACTACTAATCAATATAATTACCTTACTCGATAGCCAGTCAAGGTCCAGAATTGGCATTGATCTGCATGTCAGGAAGTAGTGTTCCATTTAATTTAATCTGTACCATTTAACTTGCTGCAAAAAGCATCATGACAAATTTTATGCTAAACATGAGACCTTTAACCACTTGTGGTGTAATTTAGATAAGAAATTTTTCAGATTTCACTTTATATAATATATTTTTTTAATTGAAGCTTCACGTTTTTTTTATATTGAGTGAAATATTCAAATCAAAGATGAAATTTTTATGGCTCCGTCATTTCATAAAATGGAAAATTCTAGATGTCTCATGTATCATTTTATACTTTATACTTTTCCCTGTAATTCGGCAGTATATATTTAGTATCTTTGGAGACCTTGATCTGGGATCTAGAATTTAAAAAAAGGTTCTGTGGGTTTGAACAATCCTTTTTAGCACAACATGAGTTTGTAATGATGGACCCGCTAAAAGCTCTGTTGAGTTAAGCCTTTCTAATGTCATGTTGAAGGCAACCTAAACGTTACTGGATCAAACCACATTTTTAGTGGTCAAAATACATGTTTGTTCATAAGAATACAGTAACCTACAACAACTTAGAGGGCAAGTAAAGAAACTTGAAATATCTGGTCAATTATTGGGTGCATGTTACTGCCCCCCTGCAGGAGGACACAGGGATGATATGAGCCAGAATGGCTGCCAGTCGCCTGTCTGTTCATTCCAGTGACTAAGCAGGAATCAGACTGGACAAGAGCCGGCCTCCAGACCCCCTCTGAAGCAGTGACACATCTCCTTTGATTCCTGTACTCCTCTATCTATCTCTATCCTCTATCTATCCGTACACACACACACACACACACACACACAAACACACTTTCTTCTGATGACAGCCAGTGTGATATGCTGACCAAGTGTACTGTGTTGGTTGTGTGTCAGAGCCCAGGCCTTTTATTTTTTCCCCGTCCATGACAAAAGCTGCTTTAGACCAAACCGCCTTGGTGGTGCAAGGCATGGGCTCGGGCATAATGGGTAGGATGTGTGTGTCAGTGTGTGTGGGGGAGTTAAGGAATTACTGATCAAACTATGATGCACATACTGCCTTGTTCTACACCCCAGTAGTGACCTCATGGTTCAGTAACTGACTCGTCCTTTCTGTGTGTTTCTTTGTCATACAGAAACTGTTTGTGATCGTCACCTTCAGCAGACACATAGTGGAGCAGATGGTCTCCCTCATCGGGTGAGTAAGCCTCAAACGGGTGTATGTGTGTGTGCTTGTGTGAGTGTGTTTGCTCACCAAAAGTACCCTGTAGGGTGTGCAACTATCGCACATGAAAGAGTTAACGCAAAACTTGACAGTTAAGGGACCTTTTGGGTAGTGTTCAGGTAATTTATGTCCCTTTGTGAAATTTGTCAAGAGTCACAAAGAGGAGGAGGCAGATTTCACACAGAGTCAGAGGTGGCTTTGAATTGAACATGGTGCTTTTGGAAGATGACTTGTTTCTCTATAATGGTTGAAATACTTTGTACAGACCTTGAAACAGAGGTTTTGTCACATTTGTTCTCCTTTTGGCTCCTCACTCTGCTGTAATAGTCTACACAGTGATTAATGGCTTGGATTTTTCCACTCGATGACTATGGGCATGAACATGTTCTGGCTGTTTCACAGGACGGGATGAACTCTTGTCTATCATAGAAACCTCCTCTGTGCTTTATCTCTCATAATGCACTGTTTTCACCCTTTTAACCAATCAGTTGTTACCTACCTAACGTCATGGGGAGCACAAGCCAAAAGAGAGTCTGAGTGTCTGAAGATGGATCACCAGGATCTTCTTTATCTTTTCGATAAAATAAGGCCCTTGGTGTCAGACCTCTCAGGCAGGATGTGCTAATGTTTATTAGCCTGGAACCTCTTTGGAAGAAAGAAAAAATTGAGTTTGAGTTTCCGCAGAGAGAGATCTCACAAAGGAAATTTATATGTGTCAGTATTTGTGTGTGCCCAGCTGGAAACAGCATCAGTGTAGTGTTGAATACACCAATGAAGTGTTTTTGTAGGATTGAGATACTGTTTTTATCATAAAGATATCACAGACTAATTTTCAAGGTGTAAAACCAGTACAATCTTTTAACAGAAAATTCCAAACAAAATTCACACCTACACACACTTCTTTAAAATATATGGGTTAAATGTAATACGTGTTGAAAGAGCCTTGGTGCTTGGTGAGGGTGCTGATGGGTGCCATGATGGGTGTCCTTGTAGAGATGCCAGCAGCTGCAGCTGGAAACTGCCCTCAACACACCTGCTAGTGGGAGTGCCGTTTGTTACACACACACACATACTCATCGTGCACTCAGGTCTCTCACACACACTTGCTGAAATCAGGAGATGTGATTGCATCAGCTCTCTTCCTTGCCATGTTGTCTTCTTGCACATTTGCTTTCTAAAATGAACTAAGGAAGACTTTGGTCAGAGACAAAGATGTTGTTCTTTTCTCTCTATGTATTTTTATAGACAGTACTTCAGTCCTGTTTTAACAGCACAACGTAAAATATGTTAATATGTTGCAATTTAGGTGTGATCAATGAACCTCAGATAGCACAAGCTTTACAAGAAATTTTAAAAGTTTTTAGCTACTCGGTGTGTGTGTGTGTCTGTGTGTCGGTGTGTCGGTGTGTCTGTGTGTCGGTGTGTTGAGCTGTGAAAGACTTGTCCCCTCTGGCAGTCACTGTTCATTGAGCTGCAGACTCAAAGCAACAGATCATTGGTTATTGACAGGTTTCAGTCTGACTCACTGCCCGCTTCTTCTCTAAAGGAAGTTTCCCTCATTACTACTTGTCAACCGTCAGCTTCCTTCCTCACTGAGGCCTTTCCACCTTCACCTCTGATTTTGTGTGCCACTTTCACTCTCACTCTCAATCACACATCACCTTATGAATGGGTGACTGCCTTTCAATTTGAACCCTTTAGGCACCGACAGGCCGCAATGTCAGTGCAGGTGCTTGGAAATAAATTTACACCTTTGCACCCATTTAAATGCAGGCACCTGCAGTTACCCCCACCCACTGTGCACAGTAGCATGTGCATGCACAAACACAAACCCTGCATGCACACACACACAAACTTAAACAGTTGTCCCCTGGATGCACCCTTCTCTAAACTCTTACTAAACTCGTACTAAACTTCCACATCTTGTTTTTTTGTTTTTGTTTTTTTCTCACCTCAACCAGTTGTGGGAATTGCAGAGTAAAGGGAGTTACTCTTTTCTTTTTTCTTTTTTTTTTTTGAAAAGAAAAAAAGTGTACGGAAACAATATTCAGCAAAATTCTTATTTCTTGGTGGTGCATAAACAGATTCCCAAAATAATGATTCAGAGCCACGTCTGCAAGAAATGTAGAATTTGTTAGTTTGTAAAATTTCTTAAACCAATAACATTTGAGTTACTTTTGATTATCCCATGTTAATTGTTATTAGCATGTGGAGCATTTGCTATCTTTTTCAGCTGTTTTTGTTTCTAAAATAAAATTCACTTTGCACTAAATGATTAAGTATGTGGAATTTGAATGTGTAGGCTCAGTTTGTTTTT